GCTCCCCTTTCCAGCTCCCCATATTAACTGTGGGCAGTGGTTTATTAACCCAATGATAGAAAAAAAAATTGTTAAAATGATTGCTGGAAAAGGCACGACTTTTCAGGGGTAATGAAATTCATGAAAGGCTGAAAACATTAAAATTCAACAAGTAAACATCGAATAGCGAAAAGGAAATACAAATACTTTTGCCTTTTCCAATTAATAGAAACCCCTATATCAATATTTGAAGGCCTTTATGGATTCTGATAAGTCCGATAATTATACACATAAGGTTTTAAACAAATTGCGAGCAAGTCATGAACATATTTCTGACATGACAGAACTCGGAAAAAGACATTAATTTACCTTGTTGACCACTGGGCACCCATTTTTTTACGTTCCAGAGCAGGATTACAGTGACAGGAGCATAAACTAAAACATATTCCAACGTATAACACACAAACGAGCTGTTATATTTCAACACAGATACTAGTTCTGTTAGCATCTTGTCTAATGACCAACCTTTTCGCTTTACTTCGTAATCAGTAAAGAAAAAGTAAGGTTTGTGGAACTTCACGTTGTGATGTGCATGTTGGTTGCTAAAGCTGTTAACAACTCCCATTCCAAAAACTAGTAGCAAAACCATAGATATGTTAACTCCATATGCAAATGTACTTGTTCGTAATTCCTCTTTTGAACATTCTGTCATACACAATACACCAAGTGTTAATATAAAACAGGCGACGGGGAATGTGAAGCTATCTAACACAAAAGGACTAATGCCATATAAATGATATGTTGATTTTAGCCAGGTCATGGACGCAAAACTTTCATGAAAAAATCCAATTAACAAAACAAGAAATAAACTGTTTGAAAGTTTGTGATTGTGCTTCAAAAAGTTCAAAGGAAGAGCTATCAATATCAGCATTCCGAAAACCAGAGTCAAAGCAATGCCGGCTAGTTGAAAATATTGAAAGACGCTTCTGGACAAGATGATTGATGAAAAGATGAACATTTCAAATCTGTTATTCTTTTCTTTTCCCCTCTTGTTGTGACTTAACTACTGATCTAATTTCAGCTTATTTATACAAAAAGTCAGTACAGATGTTAACACACTGACACATTTGATATCCAACTTACGGAAACTGTTGCCGATTGATTATTTAGAACGTTCGTAACAGTTAGAGTAACATTTGGTTAGTTTGGAGTAGGAATAATGTGTCCAGGAAGGTTCCAATATTGTTCCGTGAACTGTTATCTAGTTAGCAAACACGTTAAAAATCTACAGGAAGCAGTCGGTCTAGTACAAAGTCAGGTATATTAACCTGATGTTGTCCTGAATATACACCGTATGAGCTATGTCCTGCTGGACGTCAAGATGTGTTGGTTAAAAAGTGTTCAAGTGAACTGTTACCGTGAAGAATCAAGTGTTAAACATCCATTTCAAATAGCCTTTCTCTAGTTAAATGTATTCTGATATTAACACGTTATCTTCCTAAATATTCAGAATATAATTACCATTGGATGTCAAGCAACTAACAATCAGTAAATCAAATCATTTTTACTAATAAAAAAATCTTTATGGTGAAATCAGATTGATCATATGCCAGATTAACAAAGATATATAACTTGCCGTCTTAAACAGTTTTGTGATACTTCATCAATAAACAATTTTAAATCATATTCTACGAAAAGTTTTTCTCTTTTTTTTATAATGCAACATGTTTTGTTACATCGAGGAATGTATTGATTATGCAGTTGAACGCTTAAGACCTACAAATAAATTATGATGTAATAAAAATGTTTATGAAGGATAATTTTTAAATAATTGGTGAAATATTTATACATGAATTTGAACACAACAAAAGCGATAAGTTTAACTTTGATGTCTAAATTGCTTGGTCAACGAAAACGATGACGATATTATTGTTTAATGTCAAGTAGCAAATATTACATGCATAAATTACCAGGACGAGAAAATGTGACTGTAATATAAACCAATGTTTTTACGAAGGTAAATGTCCTTAATTGGTTTAAAAATAGCATTTGAAGTTGTTTAAAAGAACTATTCATCTAGAACTTTTCATTGATATCATTACTTGAGCTGGCGACAGGGTTGAGTTTAAGTGTGATATTGACACACTTTTCAGTTCGGGCTTAAGACCCTTCAGGGAAAACGGTACTATTTATTCTGCCATAGGCGACAATACTAACATTTTCTAAATTTACCACTTTTTATAATAAAAACCCGGATAAAACAGTTATGTGTGGTGTTAGTACTTTATTATTCTGTTTTAAAAATTGAAGCCAAATAGTATCACGACCAACTTCCAACGGAGCTTGTTAATGTTATCCATGCCCACCTTCATTTTACACCAAATTTATGAAATTTTTGAAGTCTTTTCGAATAATTCTCTAGAAAATATTTCAATAGGTTTCAAAATTTATATTGTAAATATACACACTGCAGTTATTCATAGATAAATAAAAAAAATATATTGTACCCTAACATCCAATCACAGCGCTCCTAAGTTGACTTCCTTCACCTGCCTTGGGTACACAAGAGGCCAACCTAATGCTGGGAAAATGTAATAGTACCGTTTTCCCTTCATTGCTTTAACAATTACACTAAAACTGTAATAAACACCTTGTTTGTTGTAATTGTGATACCCTCTTGGCTCTGAATTAAACATATTTCATTTCCACGTACATAAATCATGTATTTAAAATGAAATTTGTAGTTAAAAAACGTTAGATTATTCCATTGTCTATTTCTTAAATGTTCTGAGTCTGCTGATTGTGTGGAATAAAAACAAGACACACAAAAAAAGAAACATGATCTCAAATTGTTGAATTTTTTTGTCTTATTCTTGTAATGGTTAGAAAATACATAAAATAACACCATTACAAACTCAATCCAAATTTTATATTCTATTTTTAGAAATTTACCTGTGATAAAATAAACGTCACAAAAAATACGTCACTTTTTGTGGCGTTGATACATTCGTGTGACACACAGTTCATACTTCTATTGTGGTGTACTTGTGTACTGTCGTAAATCCATGGGAGGTGTCCGTTGTTATTCTGTGGTATACATGTTGTAATGTACTATCATATTATTTATTTATGTATTTTTCTGTCCTGAGTGTTTTAGCGGTTATTTGTACTGTATTCATGTCACGTAATGTTGTCATTTCAGCGGTATTTTCAACATTGCCATATACACGGGAGGCTTGGCTAGCCATAAAACCAGGTTCAACCCACCATTTTTTCTTAAAATGTTCTGTACCAAGTCAGGCATATGACAGTTGTTATCAAATATTCCGTTTCTATGTATGTTAGCGTTTGTTTTTGTAGCAGATCAGTGTTTCTGTTGTTTCATTGTTTTCCTCTTATAGTTGATGTGTTTCCCTCGGTTTTGGTTTGTGACCCGGATTTGTTTTCGCCTAATCGATTTATGACTATTGAACAGCGTATACTACTGTTGCCTTTATTTATACAATTTTTCATGTAATAAAAATTGGGTGCTTGAAATAAGTGGCTGCCTACTTGATTGGATGCTAAAAGTGGCTGCCAGCTGTCGGATGAATTATACAGCTAGCAAGTACATGAACTGCTTCAATCTTAATTGAAAAATATATCCGTTACCAGACAATCTGGTGAAGTTTTTGAAGTTATGATCTTATTTGTCCGGTTGAAAGACAACCCTTAAATTTAAAGAAATTCTACTTTTCTATAATAATAATACAGATGTTGACCTGATTTTGAGCATAACGAAAAGGAAATGTGGGATATTTCATTGTATTTGGTGTGTACTCGCATAATCATGATTAACAAATTGAAGCTTTGTAAGTTTCTAGCTTAAATATGTAAGTAAATTATTGCTTCTATCCAAATCTTTTTGCTACAGATGGAGTAACTGTCTCGGGCCTAAATCATGTAAACGTAACATATTTTAGTGTGAGAAGTAGTGTCATGTCATACTTTTATTTCTTTTAAATCATATGTCATGTAAAAAGTAAAATCACAAAAATACTGAACTCCGAGGAAAATTCAAAAAGGAAAGTCCCCAATCAAATGGCAAAATCAAAAGCTCAAACACATCAAACGAATGGATAACAACTGTCATATTCCTGACTTGGAACAGGCATTTTCTTGTGTAGAAAATGGTGGATTAAACCTGGTTTAAAAGCTAGCTAAACCTCTCACTTGTAGGACAGTCGCATCAAATTCCATTATATTGACAACAATGTGTGAACAAAACAAACAGACACAATAGGTATGTCAGTTATACTTTTTTAAGCATCATGATTATTCTATTCTAAAATGTATTTCTTTAATCATAATTTTAAAAATAAGGAGATGTGGCATGATTGCCAATGAGACAACTATCCACCAAAGTTCAAATGAAGTGGATGTAAACAATTATAGGCAACCGTACGGCCTTCAACAATGAGAAAAACCCATACCGTACAGTAGGCTATGAAAAATATGAAACAATTCAAATGAGAAAAATAACAGCCTAATTTACAACAAAACAATTTACGTAAAATAAATATGACAGACACAAACCAACGACAACCACTGAAGAACAGGCTCCTGACGTGGGACAGGCACATATAATGTGGCGGGGGTAAACTAGTTTGCTGGCGCCAAACCCCCCTAACTTGGGACAGCGGTGTAACAGTACAGTCAACATAAGAACAAACTATAAAAAAAATTGAAAAGGCTTAACTCATCAGATCGATACAAAGCAGAAAACATCTATCGAAAACACAGACCGGACGTGTCACAGCGTATAAAGTCTATTATCACACTTATTTTTAAATTCACAAACATTTATTAGAAATAAGATGTGGTATAAGTACCAATGAGGCCAAGTTACAATGTGTAAAAAGTAAACAATTATAGGTCAAAGTACGGCCTTCAACACGGAGAATACCAAAATGACTAGTGTAAAACAATTCAAACAGGAAAACCAACGGTCTAATCTATATTAAAAACGAGAAACGAGAACCACATCAACAAACGACAACCACTGAAACAGGTTCCTGACTTAGGACAGGTGCAAACAAATGCAGCGGGTTTAAACGTTTTAACAGGCGCCAACCTTCACCCTAGTGTATTTTCTAAATTCACAAAAAGAAAACAATAAATAACACTGGTGTGCATTTAGACTGTTTTGGCAAATGACCGCGGGAGACAAAAACTGTTAAGATTGAATGTATGAATGTGCACGTAATCGTAGATCACAAAATATTACCTAATGTTATTTCAAATTAGAATATTGTTCAGAGTATATCATGCGGATGGTGAGACATATGTCCTCCTATAGTGGTAACTAATATCAAAATCCTCACATTTCACCCCGGATGGCAAACAGTTGAATGGAGGTAGATCCCATGACATCATTTTTACACTTGTTCATGTGAAGTTTTCAGTATTAGATCTATTTCTCAGTTAATAATGATCGTAAGTTAACACTTTTCTGGTATTTGAATTGATGGATTGCTCTAAGAACATGTAAATGTATATAACAAGTCCTTCAAGTAGAAAATACCAAAATCCCAGAGTAAAAAAATATACACCATACACACTGTCATGCTAGGAATAAAATCTTGTGTCAAAAAATTGTAATGGAAGTTTATAATCCAAAAAATTGGTCTCACGATCCAAATCACAAACAACATAAACATTAAGATATATCGTTGTACTATAATATTATTATCACACGTCATACACTGCTCGTGATGTCCACCTGAAAAAAAAGTAAATGCGGATTACCATAACGAATCTTGAGCATTGCAGGTGATTGTCTTTGATTAAAGTTTAATGTTTCTGTTGGTTTTGATGGGAGATCTTAGAAAGTCTCTGGAAAATTGTATCATAACTAGTTTTGGAACTTTGGCTATTTATAATTAATGCTCGACACATTGTTTAGGCATATACATTGACCATTATCTATATTTAACGGAGTTGCTATCTTATTAAGGCATACCCCAAATTCTAAATTTATCCCTCAAAGAATAACTTATATTAGATTGTCTGGATGGAGCTTACGGAATAAATCATAATGGAAAAAAAACAAATAAAAATAAAGGGAAAGAAAATAGAAGAAAATTAGGCCGAAACATAAAGAATAGCGAATGATGGGGTGCTAATATATAAAGAGAATAATGGCATACAAATTAAAGAATACAAAAATCAAGACCCCCATCTAGACCCTCATATATGTATAAGGAAATAATTAACATATATTTACCTTGTTGACTGCTAATAGGCCCACATCTCTTCATGTTCCAGAGCAGGATCACAGTAATAGGAGCATAAACTAAAACATATTCCAAAGCGTAACTCACGATTTTAATCATGTTGCCTAAAAATCCTGCTTTGTGAAACTTCAAGTTATAATAATTTGCATGTTGGGTACTGAATCCGTAAATTCCCATTACAAAAACTAGCAGTAAAACCGCAGAAATGTAAACTCTATATGCAAATATTCTTGGTGTTGACTCCTCTTTTGAACAATCTATCATGCACACCACGCCAAAAGTAAATATGAAACAGGCGACGGGAAAAGTGTACCAATCGAACACGAAAACAGTCATTCTATTTAGATGATATGTTGATTCTAGCCAGTTCATTGATACAAAACTTTGATGAACAAATCCTATTATCAAAGCGAGAAATAAACTGTCTGAATTGATGTGGTCATACTTCAAGAATATCGATAAGAATAATATAACTATGAGTATTCCAAAAACCAGTAAAAATAATATACAGGACAGATGAACATTTTCAACGAAGCTTCCAGAAAAGTTGATTGAAAAAAAGTCGAACATCTTTCACTTGTGCTGTATTTCTCGTCTTTCTACCTCTGTTCTGACTTACAGATTCATCGTTTCTTCACCTACAGTAAATGAAAAAAAATGAGAAAAATATCTTTTAGGTACAATTTTAAACACACGGAAACACTTTTCATTCGGTTAACGATTCCGGTTAGTTGATTTATCAGTTGGTAGAGTTCAGCACAAACATTGTTTGTTATGAGCCAGAATAATATGTCAGTAAGATTTAAATGTCTTCATGCGACTGTTACAGATACAGATATTTATGATTTATTAAGGGTCTGTAACGAGCAACTCATTGTTTTCATCAACTTCGTTTGAACTTTGGTGGATATCTGTATCATTGGCAATCACAACACATCTCCTTATATGTTATAAAGAAATTTATTACAGTGATATTTTTTTTATAATTCAGATACTCAAATAATTTATTAAATAGTTTATGAAATAGTTTGATCTTATGTTGTACTGTTACACCACTGTCCCAGGTTAGGGGGAGGGTTTGGCGCCAGCAAACTAGTTTAACCCGCCACATTCTGTACGTACCTGTCCCAAGTCAGGAACCTGTAATTCAGTGTTTGTCGTTTGTTGATGTGTAACATATTTGTTTTTCGTTCATTATTTTGTACATAAATTAGGCCGTTAGTTTTCTCGTTTGAATTGTTTTACATTTGTCATTTCGGGGCCTTTTGTAGCTGACTATGCGGTATGGGCTGTGCACATTGTTGAAGGCCTACGGTGTACGGTGACCTACAGTTGTTAATTTCTGTGTCATTTATTCTCTTGTGAAGAGTTCTCTCATTGGAAATCATACCACGTCTTCTTTTTTTTATAAGTGTCGCGGTCTTATACAAAGCAAGGTATAACAATATGCTGTCGTCTTGAACATGCATGTAACATTTACCACTGGACGTCAAGATGTGTCCGGGTAGGTTGGAACGTCTCCCATTGAACTGTTACCTTGTGAGATAATCTCCGGCGCAGAGATCGTATATCCGTTCCGTTCCATACTACGCAGCACGAAATAGCAGTACACTCAATATCACCTATATCAAGTGCATATCAAGTGAGGCATTAAGAAGCACGTACGGAACGGACATAAACTGAGATTGCTTGTGAGATAGCACATCAAAAATCTTAGCAGGAATCGGGTCCATCTAAAACAAAGCAAGATAACTTTATATGCTGTCGTCCAGAATATGTATGAAATATTAACCACTGGACGTCAAGACCGAATAGAGGTTGAAATATCTTAAAGTGGTGTGTTACCTTGTGAAATAGCACGTTACAAATCGAAATCATGGTACATGTCGGTCTAGTACAAACCATGGTATATTCATATGATGTCCTGAATATGCATCATATAATAAAATGGCAGTGGTTATTTAGCCGGCGCCGACAAAATAGGAAATATGCTATTGTGCCGGCTCTACGCAAGCGATCGTAAGCGGAAGCCAATATTGCCAGTAAAAAAACGATTTTGTTTACAAATATGCGTGAATTCAAGGGAACTGACTATTATCTCAAAAGCAAATTTAATTGAAACAGTTTTGATTTGAAGCTATGTTTGTTTTATCAAATTAAATTTATATGCCATGAGATTTATAACTTTTATTATTTTACAACATACAGTTAAAAAATCTGGGATTTTATTCTTACTCATACATGTCATATATGAATGCATGTAGCATTAGATTGTGACTGATTTTAGAAGTAATTCAAACTGATGATTTCATTGCTACAAATGGTGCTCAATATTGTTATTTTTATTTCTTTTTACAAATTCTAATTTTCACTTTGACTGATAAATGTTTTAAACAATTACAAAAATGTATATGTATCTCAAATATTGTTACTGTTATCTTATTTTTAAACTATACGAGTAATAATTTGATTCTTTTGTGTTCTTTTATGTTGACAATGCACATTTTCGTAGTGTTAAGAACTGGCAAAATAAAAAAAAATCACTGTATTAACGGCGCAGACAAAATAGCCATTGCTATATAAATATGCTATGTTGCCGGCTTTAATTTAGATATTTTAACCATAGCCGGCAAAATAGCATATTTTCGTGTCGGCAAAATAGCCACTGCTTGATAAAATTACCGCTAGACACCAAGAAATGTTGAAACGTCTTCCAGTGAAACGTTACCTTGTGAGCTACAATGTTAAATATCCGACTCGTGTATCGTCTCGCTCTAGTAACAGAGCTTGGAATAAATAGAACTACTGGTCTCCCAACAGAGCTTGGAATAAATAGAACTACTGGTAACCCTACATATTCTTTAACATCATTTACCAAGGACGAAATTTTACAAAATCACAAATCTCTCCTTCTTTCTTTTGGTATCAACATAAAAGAAAACGAAGAAAATTTACCATCATTATACTGGATACCAAAACTACACAAAACTCCATATAAAGAACGATACATAGCTGGGTCATCAAAATGTTCGACTAAACATCTTTCTAAAGTACTGACTACTATTCTTTCTACAGTTAAAGATGGGCTTCAAAAATATTGTGATGAGATATATTCTACCAGTGGTGTTAACCAGATGTGGATTCTCAAAAATTCGAAAGGTCTACTGCTTAATCTTCGATCACAATCTTTGCAATTTTGCAGCAACATAAAGACTTTTGATTTTTCTACGCTTTACACTACTATTCCCCATGCTCAGTTGAAAGATCGACTTCACAATCTCATTAAACAGAGCTTTTTCTATAAAAATGGGAATCGAAGATACAAATTCCTTGTTTTGGGTTACAATGATTCATATTTTGTGAAAAAGCACACTGAATCTACCAGAAAATATACTGAAGATGATATTATCAAAATGCTGGACTTTTTGATCGACAATATATTTGTTGAGTTTGGAGGATTTATATTTCAACAGACAGTCGTTATTCCAATGGGAACTAATTGTGCACCCCTACTGGCCGATTTGTTTTTGTACACGTACGAAGCAGAATTCATTCAGAACCTTCTAAAAGACAAAAAGAAAAAGCACCTTGCGAAATTCTTTAATTTTACTTTCCGATATATTGATGATGTTCTATCATTGAATAACCCATATTTCAGCCAATACTTACATCTCATATATCCCAGTGAACTTGAAATTAAGGATACTACTGATACTAGAAGGACTGCTTCATACCTTGATCTTTTCTTCAATATTGACACAGATGGACGACTTCACACGAAAATCTATGATAAACGGGACGATTTCAACTTCCCAATTGTCAATTTCCTATTTCTCAGCAGTAACATACCCTCTGTCCCTTCGTATGGTGTTTACATATCTCAATTGATACGTTATTCTCGTGCTTGTTCACACTATACGGACTTCATATACAGGAGTGTGCTCCTTACGCAGAAACTGCTCCAACAAAGTTATGAGGAGGACAGATTAAAAATGACACTCCGTAAATTTTACGGACACCATCACAAATTGGTTGATCCATACGATGTGTCTTTGTCCAAACTAACTAAGGACATTTTTATCACGTGTTAGATTGTGGTTTGTCATTACGTCGTCTGATCTTTTAATTACCGAACGTGACTTATTCCCAATTGTGACTGTTTTGCTGAGTGTGAAACCGCATTGCTATAAGACGTGTCACGGTACCTTTCTATCCCAAATTCATGTATTTAATTTTGATGTTATCTTTGTTGTTCTCGTCGGATTTTGTCAAATGTCTTAACGTCTTTTCTGTTACATTCGTGTGTTATGGTAAAGATAATTAATCACCCCCTTCATTTATTAGATTTTAGTTTGATTCAACGAAATTTATACGATATATTTGGTTTACAGTTTGATTCAGAAGAAACACTGACATAGCTAGATAATACAATTAATTATCCAATTACTACCACAATTTGATATTAATAAGTATTGTAATTTTCATTGTTATTAATAAATGCCAGTATTACAAATGACCCCCCCCCCCCCACACACACACACAAATCTAATCTTTAATCAATCCTAATCCTATCTTATTTTTGGGAAATATTTTTACAAATTCAAATGTGACGTCACTTTGTGTGTATTTTTAGAATTTCAAATGTGACGTCACTTTGTGTGTTGAGGCTTTGGCTTTGGCTAACTCGGCTGTGTATTTTTTTATGTGTTGGATTAAGTTGTTTTATATAATGTATCCGTTTTTATTCTGTAGTTAGTCCCCACTTTGGTTTTATCATGTATATCTATTACATAGTCATTTTATAAAATTTACTGTTTGCAAAATTATAAATTATTCTAAATAATAAGGATGTTCTTGTCCCAGGCAGAAAACCCTGGCCGTGTTAGGCGCAAATTTTTGGAAGTTTTGGTCCTCGGTACTCTTCAGCTTTGTACGTGTTTTGGCTTTCAAACTTTTTTCATCTGAGAGTCACTGGTTGGTCTTGTGTGGACGAGACGCACGTCTGGCGTATTGAATTTTAAGCCTAGTACCTTTTGTTAGCTATTATTCGTGTGTTTCTTTGTCCTATATTTTCTCCCATTTATTTGTATTGTGGTCCTGTCATGTGATGTTGTCGTTTTGGTGTTGTGTTTGACATAAAAGCGGGAGGTTTGGCGTGCCACAAAACCAGGTTCAACCCACCATTTTTTTCTTAAAATGTCCTGTACCAAGTCAGGAAAATGGCCATTGTTATATTATAGTTCTTTTCTGTGTGTGTTACATTTTAATGTTGTGTTTTTGTTGTGTCGTTGTTCTCCTCTTATATTTGATGCGTTTCCCTCAGTTTTAGTTTGTAACCCGGATTTGTTTTTATCTCTATCGATTTATGAGTTTTCGAACAGCGGTATACTTCTGTTGCCTTTATCTAGTAACGCAGTGTATATAAAGTGTGAATCCAGTTAGTTCATTTTCACTGTTGTATGCGATATGTCTATTGTAGAATAAAGGATGATGGGAAAAACTGCGTTTGTTTACTTTTTGAAAATACAAAATAATTGATTTGAATGTATGTTTTAACAAAATTTCATTAGAATATAACTTTTTAATGTATAATAACAGGATTAAAGTCCAAAATAAATGTAATTAAAGCAGCAGAATCCATAATACTATTTACGGAATGCGATTCATTTCAACTATAAATGCGATGAATTATCACTGTAAGTGCAATCATTTCTGATGTGGAATTTTTGAAGGTGCGATGAATTTTCATTGTTGTTTTATATGTCAATTCGACATGCAACAACTGAAAATAGTCTTTAAATGACTTTAATATTGATGATATTTACAATTTGAAATGCAAGCCAGTCGTAGATGCTTACTTGAATGTACACGGGTATAACCACGTTCATATCATGCATATTCAAATATTGTTGGTGAGTTTGCTATTATCTTGTCATGGATCCGAAAATTTACTGGAGCAGAACATCGATGAATGTAACGTATTTCTACGGCGATTTTTCCTTTTAAAAGTTTAAGAACTCGCTTAAAAAAGCTTTGAAAACTTGTCACGCCGTGTCATACTTATTTCTACCATATTGATAGGCTTTTGCAAACGAACAGTACAAGAATGTACAACGAACGGTACTAAAGAAAGTAAACAAACTACAAAGAGAATGAATCGTACAGTGCCAGAATTCTGAGGTCAGTTTTTCAAGTAAATGTCTTCAAAAATATTTAAAACAACGGGTTTCTTATTCGCATTATGTATTTTTCACAACAACATGCAAATCACAAAATATACGGTCGCATTTAGTGTAAGAGCCAACCAACTATATATTCTCTATTTGTAGTTTAATCATAAATGATATACAATGCTGCCATTAGCAGTAAACTTTGTTTTAATAAACATTGAATACTCAATTAGTCTTTGGTGAAAATATAAGAACGGTCTATCTACCAACATCGCGATTAACGTCCGGAATCAACTTTACGGCGGTTATACCCCATGGTATAGAACCATTTAAACATGTAAAAATAAACTGTTTTCAATATTTCCTTGTATTCTTACAATTGCGTATTTGCTTATTTGTAACACCGACTTATAAGGAATTAAAACATAAATTAAGGTGACTCGACTGTTGCTCGAACTTTCTTTACTGTATTTGATGTATACACAATGGCATGATAAATATCAATTATCAAGTCATCCAAGTGTCAATTGTTTGTGAAAGATGAAAACGTTTCCATTTATTTAATCATGAAATGAAGATCGTTTTGTAAATTCTCTTTGTTATCTAAAATGCATCCATTAGAGCTATGTTCCTAATGCTTGTAGTTTAAAGGTTTGGTTGGCTTGCTTGCTTTTTTTGTAAAAATGTTTGCTCAATCTTAATTATAATGCTTAAGCAAACATTTATACAAACAAAGCAGCAAGCCACCCACACCTTTAAACTACAAGCATTAGGAAAACAGCTCTAATAACGTTTAATTTATCAGTATATGCGATGTAGATTTAGACCGAAACAGAAACTTTGCTTTTTCGGTGACGTGGATTGGCTTAACTGTCCAAGATATATGTATTCAATGAAGGCGTTTCATACGAAAGGATAAATTTTATCCTACATATAGATCTGGATCTGGACAAATTATTAGAGAAAATAGAATTGACTATATTAGCAATAAATGCCATTTTTAAGGAATTTATTGATATATATTACCTCAGACTTTCACTCACTAATTATGTATATATAATCAATCTCATAAATTTTGTTAGAGAGTTGGCTGAATTAAGACAATATATATAATGAAAATAAATTTTCTTTCTGTGAAAATGCATCGCATGTACAATAGAAATGAATCGCCCTACAGTGAAAATGAAAGTCTAGTATCATTATTCGACAGTAAACATGAATCGCATAACGAAAACATTATAGTGGAATTTGATTCAATAACAACAAGCTGAATAACAAAACCTGTTTTAAGTTATACAACATTAATAATCTATGTTAAAAGGTACATTTTTCTGCAAATGAAACTTAACTGCTACTTTTAAATCTCTTACACGCTCTGTTCGTGAACTATTCTTAATATTTATGTATTTGTGTATCAATTTTGCACCTGGATGGCTGTAGGCGCGATGAAAACCCGACTGCATCTCATACCTATATCATGAATTTATAAAAACAGTTATTTCTTATTTTATTCAAAAATCATGAATTTATCGTCTGTTTATTTATCATTCTACATCAGAAATTCATCACGGATACAGTAACAAGAGTGCACACGCTGAAATGTCTCGCCTTCTTTACTAATCATTGATATTATGTTGATAGTCCTAAATATAAAGCTTTATTACAACTGTCACATAAACTTAACATTAACCAAGTAAACTAAACATTGACCAATGAACCATGAAAATGAGGTCAAGGTCAGATGAACCATGCTAGGCAGGCATGTACAGCTAACAATTCTTCCATACAACATATAGAGTTGACCTATTGCTTATAGTTTAAGAAAAACAAACCAAAACACAAAAACTTAACACTGAGCAATGAACCTTGAAAATGAGGTCAAGGTCAAATAAAACCTGCGTGACTGCCAAATAGATCATAAAATATTTCCATACACCAAATATAGTTGAACTATTGCATACAGTATAAGAAAAACAGACCAAAACACAAAAACTTAACTATAACCACTGAACCATGAAAATGAGGTCAAGGTCAGATGACACCTGCCAGTTGGACATGTACACCTTACAGTCCTTCCATACACCGAATATACTAGACCTATTGCTTATAGTATCTGAGATATGGACTTGACCACCAAAACTTAACCTTGTTCATTGATCCATGAAATGAGGTCGAGGTCAAGTGAAAACTGTCTGACGGGCATGAGGACCTTGCAAGGTACGCACATACCAAATATAGTTGAACTATTGCACATAGTATTAGAAAAAAAGACCAAAACTCAAAAACTTAACTTTGACCACTGAACCATGAAAATGAGGTCAAGGTCAGATGACACCTGCCCGCTAGACATGTACACCTGACAATCATTCCATACACCAAATATAGTAGACCTATGGCATACAGTATAAGAAAAACAGACCAAAACACAAAAACTTAACTATAACCACTGAACCATGAAAATGAGGTCAAGGTCAGATGACACCTGCCAGTTGGACATGTACACCTTACAGTCCTTCCATACACCGAATATACTAGACCTATTGCTTATAGTATCTGAGATATGGACTTGACCACCAAAACTTAACCTTGTTCACTGATCCATGAAATGAGGTCGAGGTCAAGTGAAAACTGTCTGACGGGCATGAGGACCTTGCAAGGTACGCAAATACAAAATATAGTTATCCTATTACTTATAATAAGAGAGAATCTAACATTACAAAAAATCTTAACTTTTTTTTCAAGTAGTCACTGAACCATGAAAATGAGGTCAAGGACATTGGACATGTGACTGACGGAAACTTCGTAACATGAGGCATCCATATACAAAGTATGAAGCATCCAGACCTTCCACCTTCTAAAATATAAAGCTTTTAAGAAGTTAGCTAACGCCGCCGCCGCCGTAGCCGCCGCCGCCGTAGCCGGATCACTATCCCTATGTCGAGCTTTCTGCGACAAAAGTCGCAGGCTCGACAAAAATGACATTTCAGGATTCGCACATTACATACACTGGTAACGTATATTACGAAAATGATTGTAACACATTTACATGAGTACATCGTCATCAATTTGAATGAAATATCTACCACCGGACGTTAATTATATAAGCAATGATTCCTCAGTTAATCAAATCCTTTTCACAATTTTCTTAAAATAGAAATCTTTTTATATGACAGAAATTCAAATTAATCAGTTGCAAGATTAACATAAATATATAACTTACCGTTTTAAACGTCCAGGTATTATAACATGACTGTGTAAATAACTTCAAAATTAATCTCTTTGGTCAGTAGAAATCATTATGTTTACAATGCAACAGACTGTGACGGTAAAATCGATGAAGCATGGGATTTATTCACTCTACAATTTATAACTTTAAACATGTTAAACATAAGGGAGCTACCATTTGATTTTAGAGGGGGGGGGCTAGGATGAAAAATGTTGTGCAGCCTTTTTATTTTCCCCTCTATTCGGTCCTGCCTTTTTTTTCAGTTTATCCTGACTTTTTTTTACATATATTGTCATCCTGCCTTTTTTTTTTGGCAAATAATCTCATCCTGCTTTTTTTTTTACTCAAAACTCCTGTCCTGCCTATTTTTTTCAAATTTCATCCTAGCCCCCATAAAAATCAAATGGTAGCTCCCTAAATATAGAAATATAATAAAACTGTTTTTGGAAGGGTGATTTTATAAACAAGTACTATCTATAAAAAGATATCTGAGGCATTCAGATGTGAGCATAAAAAGTGTTCAAAACAAGTCATGAATCTTTATCAGTTTTTTTTTATCATAGTTGAAAAAAATGCTCACAATTTGACGGTTAAAGCCATCATGATGATTCTGAAAGCTCTAAAATACTGGTACTTAACTAAATGTATTTATATAGGTTTTTTTCAGAGACAAAGTCCTAGCTGTGAAATAGACATAAACATAAGATATTATTAGGTTACAATCTGTAATGAAAAACAAACTTGAAACAGTTCAGAACCATGAAGAAATGTCAATTATAACAATATCACTGTGTCTAAACTACCCAGGCAAAAAATGTTTGGACTCGATGGTATCTAATATCCGGCACGGTGACGGAATATCAATAGACAGAGAAAAGGTAGTTTTCTGTTTATCTATTTGTTATTTTTATGATATCGAAGAACATATATGTATATATATATATATATAACTATTTTCTATTGTGAGATGTAATATTTTCTACAACCGTTCTATATTAACGGAGAAATAAGTAAAAATGCACGTCAAAATGACGAATTGAGTGAATCTTGCCTCGAATTTGTTTAATTTCTCCTTAAATTGTTCACATGATACGGAAAGAAAGATATTGACATGGAGATTGCAAAACTAGTCACTTTGAGCACCTCAATCCTTGTATTTCTGCGTATGGAACGAAAGAAATGGGTCATGTCAAAATGGAAGCACCCGGTTTTGTCAATGTTGTTTACTACACAATGACCCGGTTGTCTATGTATAGAACCCGGAACAGTCTCCGGGACAAGTTTGCACTTCCGCTGAGTGCAAAAGTTGTCACCTTAATTTTTGGAGTTAAGTCAAAATGAAGTTGATAACTTGGTTGGTATTGGTTCCCTGATATTTGTCCTAAAAAATTTTGGCTCTAGCACCACTGTTGAAAAAGTTATGCCCCTTTTTTCAACAATTTCCTCAGAGGAAAAGTAGTTTTCCTCAAGGGAAATCAAATTTCCCTAAAGGAAAAAGATTTTTCCTCAAGGGAAATTGTATTTTCCTCAAAGGAAAAAGATTTCCCTTAGGGAATTTGCTGCATTAATATTTCCTTTGAGGAAATTCTATTTCCTGTGAGGAAATTTGCAGCTTCAAATTTTCCTTTGAGGAAATTCTATTTCCTCCGAGGAAATTTGAGGCTTCAAATTTTCCTCTGAGGAAATACTTTTTCCTGTGAGGAAATTTGCGGCTTCAAATTTTCCTTTGAGGAAATACTTTTTCCTGTGAGGAAATTTTGTCAACAGCTATTTCCTGTGAGGAAATTTTTGACAGACACTTTTCCTTGAGGGAAAATTCAAGACCACAAATTTCCTCTAAGGAAAACATTGTTCTCCAAATTTCCTCTATGGAAATTTCTGTTATTCAATTTTCCTCAATGAAAATTTCAAAACAGTAAAAACAGTATGAATATAATTTTTCTGAGACTGAATAATTGATACAAAAGATAATTAAAACTTTAATAAAATGTTCACTGATGAGTAACATGACATACAAAAACAATAGGCTAGCTGTCTGAGACAATACAATCACAAGCAAAACGCTATGAATATCATACTAATTGTGATGTTATTAATATTGTGCTCATATTTGCAGATTAAATAAATAACCACTTTTCATGTTAATTTAACTTTTCTTCTATTTAGGCTACTGCGTACAATTATTCAATCCCCTACATAACAGTTCAGTGAATAAATAATTACATCCACCAGACATCTTCCTTCAATTGGTAAAGAATACATTTTTGCAATTTGTTCTTCAAACGTCTTCCTCTGTATATTTGATATGACAGAGCTATGTACATGAATGGATAAAGCAGGTGTTTATTTCGACAACAAAATACTATTTTTTCTACATTTCTCCATAATCCTTCAGTGAATATGTAGGTTGTTGCAATTACACAATTGTGTTCTTGTGCATCTATGATTGTACTCCATTTTGTTTACAGCCATTTTGTAGAAATTTCCTATTTTCTTTTTCCAGGTAAGCACACATTTCATTTCACATTTATCCAATTAGCACACAATGTAGAAAACTATTAACCTTAAGTTTCCTCTTCTGTATTGACCTGTTGATGATCATGAAAACCAAGAAGTCTCACCTATAAATACCGTACACAAAAAAATAAATTGAGAAAAAAACAGCAATATGAAATAAGCTTATTTTATCATGTTTAATATGAACATTTTGAGAAACTTAAATTTGATATTCTTACTAATCATGATTATGAGTTCTGTTTTCAGTGCTTTGTGTCCACGACTTAATGCCTTGCAGTGATAATGAGTTGAGCCACTTGCAACAGTTTTTACAGTTTGTTCATATGATGTGCTATTTGAACCACTGTCCTAGATTATGGTTAGGTGGAGTGCTCACAGACATGATTTTTTTATTAATTGTTATTGGCTTTGAACTAATTTGGATTGTTTAAATCTTTTCAGGTATGGGTTTTCTCTTTATCGAAGGCCGTCATTGGTTTTTAATTGCTTGCATCCACTTCTTTGAACTCTGGTGGATAGATAACTCACATACCACATCTTCTTATTTTTATAATAGTCATCATTCAAAGGCAATCACTTTTATAATATAGAAGTGGTCTTACCATTTAGGCCTTGTTGTCTTCTGTTTATGTTGTTTTGCCGATCATTTCTACTGTACAGTTGTAATTGTTTATATTTTTCTTTATCTTCTATATTTCTTGCCCTAAACTCAAAAAAGGTAAAAACTATAATTTAATGACTATAACTATTATTGTACATCAGTATGTGTTTTTCTATATACCATGATATATAAAAAAGGAATGAAATATTTGTGCTATTTCATTTCACAGACTATTTGCCAGTCAACAGTTTCAAAGACATAACCACGGTCAATAGTTTAACAAACAAACATTCCCGTACTTTTTCATCGTGTTCATACTAATTTTTCAATGGACAACAATGACGTGATTAACTATTCTTCTATGATGTGTGTGCTTGACAACATTAAACTCTGAAATATTGTTAACGGTATAATCTGTATGTGTCTGTCGTCAAAATTTCAAATTAATATATTACTTACAGAAGCAATTAAAACAAGAGGCTCACAAAATGAATGGGATCTAAGAACTTAAAAATTTCTAATTTACCTATTCAAACCATATCATTATTGTTTGCTTTTATATATAAATCATTTAGAAATAACTAAATTTTAAAGAAAACAAAAGGAAAAAAAGGAAAAAAAATCCCCCCCCAAATTGTTTTGAACCCCTTATGATTCATCACCCCCAAACTCAATCCCAGCCTTCCCTATGTGGTATGGTACCTTGCTGTACAATCTTAGAGAGATCCATACACTTGAACACAAGTTATTGTCTGGAAACTAGAAAAATGCTTATTTTTGGCCCCTTTTTCCTAAACATTGTGGGCAATTACCCCCAAAATCAATTCCAGCTTTCCCTTTGTGATATGGAACCTTGTAGTACAATTTCAGAAAGATCCATACACTTACACACAAGTTATTGTCATGAAACTAGAAAAATGCTTGTTTTTTGCCCCTTTTTTAGCCCCCAATTCCTAAAATTTTGAGGCAATTACCCCCAAAATCAATCCCAGCATTCCCTTTGTGATATGGAACCTTGTGGTACAATGTCAGAGTGATCCATACACTAACACACAAGTTATGTCTGGAAGTTACAAAAATGCTTATTTTTGGCCCCTTATTCCTTAACGGTTGGTACCATAACTCCCAAAATCAATCCCAACCTTCCTTTTGTGGAATTGAACCTTAAGGTAAAATTTCATAGAGATCCATTTACTTAAACTAAAGTGCGAAAACCAATGTGTCTTTGGACGACGACGACGACGCCAACGTCAAACCAATATTTTGACCGAAAAAATTTTTTGCGGTCCTATAAATACTGCAAAATTTCCTTAAAATTACCAATCTAGTGGCAGCAACCCAACAATGGATTGTTAGATTCATCTGAAAATTTAATGACTGATAGAACTTGAAATAATGAACAATTTTACCTCACATAAGATTTGCTCTAAATGCTTTAGTGTTAGAGATATAAGCCAAAAACTGACAATTTTATGTTTACAGGGTCTATAATTTAGATTGACAACTTCAGACATACTAATATTTGACCTTTTCAAACTATACATTACCAAATCACTACTTAAGGATGTTCGCTACTCTGTTTCAAAATAACAAGCTTTTTAAAAGACTGTTATAAATTGAAAGTATATGAATAAAGGAACTAAAAAAACAGAAAAATGAAGGGTCCGTGTGCTTGTTTTTAAGATATAAGCCATTAAAAATTTGGCGGGAAGTGATTCTCTCTAGACTTTTCATACACTTAACACTGGCACCTTTTTCTTTCTAAAGCTATGGAAAAATAACAAGGATTTTATAAGATTTTCAAATATGGCTTTTTAAACTATATAATAAAAATATGAAGAGAAAAGTAGGGATTTGCGGGCAAAATTTTTTAATGGCACTGCATGGATAAAACCAGAGGATTCCGAATATCTGGTAAAAATTCAAAATCAAGAGGAGCGAACATCCTTAACCTAAAAAAAA